GAAGTCTCTCCCCCATCCGCCTTTTCCCCCAACTCTCCCTTTTCTCTAACACTCCCAGCTCCAAATCTAAACTGTATTTTCTGGAAGACCTTAAGCATGTTTTTAGGAATCTTTCAAGAAAATGGGGAGTGAACTAACAAGACTGAATTTAAATTATAACTGCTGGGAAAACGTCAGTTCTACCAAAGCTTTGAGTTCATTTATTAATTAGAACGACAACAATCAATAAACCTAGTACCCAAAGATAAGTTCTTCACAAACTCTGTAAACTTCAACAAATGGGCACTTGAGTCAGATTCAGCTAAGCCTTCTGAAATTCCAAAAACTGTTTCATAAATGTCTATTTATCACTAGACGACCTCAATGCTATCTTTGTCAAATGACTTGTTCTAAGTACAGAATCAACTCTTTTGGGGGGAAAAAAAATAAGGTCCCACACACATAAAATAGATTCAAATAATATATATTAAGGTTATTTTAAAAGTCCAGGAGCTCGGAATCTTTGAAACAAGATTCTTTCAATTGTGAATGTTAAGGCTTTTCATCTCTGAAACATGATTATAAGACTGTTTTGCTTTTCCACCGAAAGCTGTGCAATGAGAAACTATACATCTGGAATAGTTAACTATACTTGAAATAAGTTAGTGATGGGAATCATAGTTCTTCCCCTTCGTTACTAAAAGAGCTCTCCAGGAGTAACCATCAAGAGTAAAATTTCATCTTTCAAGTCAGAAAATCAGGGGTTTTGGAAAACTGCAAGGCTTCCAAAAGACAAATAACAATTAGGAAGTCTCATCTTAAAATGCTGCCCACCAGGAGGGCACCAGTGGCTTATGCCTGTAATTCTAGCTACTCAAGAGGCTGAGATCTGAGGATCACAGTTTGAAGCCACTCTGGGCATTAAAGTCCATGAGACTCCAAGAAACTACTCAGAAAAACCCGGAAGTGGCACTGTGGCTAAGTGGTAGAAGAGTAGCCTTGAGCACAAACAGGCTCAGGGATAACACCCAGGCCCTGAGTTCAAGCCCCAGGACCGGCAGAAAAATTTTAAAAATGCTGATCACCCAATGAAGAAAGCACAAGGTTATTTTCTAGTAATGAGGAAAACTCAGTTTATGAATTCACAAAGTTTAATTTATAGGTTGAACTGAATTAGAAAAAAGGAACCCCAATATCCACCCTTTCTCCTAAAAGGAATAAGGCTCAACTATCTTTACCTGTATTTTAAAAAAAAAAAAAAACCTGGAAAATAAATATTTTCGTAAGTCAATAAATTGTTTCTACTTTAAAGTTACTTTTTAAATCCTGTTCCTATGTATGTGTGCATGTTCTGCTTTATAAGAATTATTAACTCTTTGTAATTTAGATTCTAAGCCATAAACTAGAACCACTCAAGTAAAAGCACCTGAAAATCTTAATCTGTTTTTTTTTAACTCCCTTTTTAAGCCTCCCTTCTTTCATTTCAGCTCTAACTCTTGAGGCTTGGATTTTTGTCTGGTTGGTTGTTGTGTTTCTTTTATGAAATGCAAAAACCTATTGAAGGGAAAGAAAAAGTTCTAGCTTGTCTTGAAAAGATTTGGTGATCCAACTATTCAGAGTCTCTAATAAATAACTTTTAACAAATAAAATTGCAGATTATTTTCTGCAATCTTAAAGCAGATTTTTTTAAACTGCTAACAAAAAAAACAGTAAGATCAAAATCAAGTCAGAACACATTCTCTTTTGAAAGTTTCAAGCCTCTATGAATGGATATGAGAATAATTGTCATTTTAATAGTTGGAAGTTTAGGACATTTTAAGTCAAGGTAAAGGGGAAGAACCACCCTTAATCTGGGAATTAAAGAAAAAAAAATCACCAAGCTTAGAATTACTTAAGTTCAATACATTTCACCTAGAAAAATGCAGGGCATCTTTCATTTTTTAAACAGTAACACCTTTTATTTTGATAACACTAGCTGACAACAAATACACTATCTTAAAGTCACATTCCTCCAGAAAAAGGCATACCTCTGTGGCAAGTGCAACAAGTTTAATTTCTTAAAAAGTAAGTCAGTTGTGGGCCAAGAATGTGGCTTAGTGGTAGAGCACTTCCCTAGCATACATGAAAAGTCTGGGTTTGATTCCTCAGTACCACATAAACAGAAAAAGCTGGAAGTGGCACTGTGGCTCAAATGGTAGAGTGTTAGCCTTGAGCAAAAGAAGCTCAGGGACACTGCCCATGCCCTGAGTTCTGAGGTCAGGCCCCAGGACTGGCAAAATAGTAATAATAATAATGAATAAATAAATAAACAAAAAGGTTAAATCATTGAACTCACTAAATCTGCTAAGGTGGCACCACCTCAACTACTCCTCAGTCTTTCAGAAGAAAACCAACTCTCCAAAATTGCTTTTGGGTTTTCTCCCTAAAACCAAGCTTTGACAGTAAATATATACAAATTCTCAATTAAAAGTCAAAATTGTTAACCAAATTCCAACCCTGGTTAAAAGAGGGGTTTGGAAAAGGTTAATAGTGAATTTTAATGTTACAAATTCTTAAAACTCAGGTCTGTTGTTTTCAGTTTAAATATAATATTCAGTCTCTTGAACCCTTAGAAATGTATAAATTATACTTATCAAAGAGATTCAAAGTGAGAACAAGATATATTAATACTTTTAAGTCAGAACTCCTCAAAGGTACTTCTGTAATATTTTTTTTTAAATTTGATTTCTTCCCTTTAAAGAAACAGGAACATTCAGGTAACTGAATTTTTATGAGACTTTTAGAAATTTAAATCTCAATTCATTTGGAACTGAGTGTATCATGAAGAGTTCTGTTTGAAATAGTGAAAACACAAGAATACTCTATACACCAAATACATGGGCGCAAGTTGTTAATTTGGTTTGGAATGTTACTCACAATGAACTAACTAGTTTCTCTTCTGGATAGCCATGAGATTGAAAAGCCAGTAACAAATTCAACTGAAGGAACGGGAGACAGACTGAAAATACATACCACAACATGCTTCCCCCAAGAACACAAAATGATAGAGCAAACTCACTTAATGAAAACAAACTCTTTCTTTTTTAAAATCCTGGGACTTCAAAAATTGATTCATGCTAGAAAAATGAAGTCCTTTACCACCAGTACATCCCAAAAAAAGAAAGAAAAAAGCAATTGACTCAATGTTTGGATTCAAAAATGATTTCAGGAAGGGGCTGAACACACAAAAGATCTAATTTAGTATGGGTGTGGAAAGGGAGATTTTTTTTTTTTTTCAAACTCAGTCTTCTCACAAACCCCCTCCCCACTCCAACTCAAAAGAGCCCTCAGTGCTGCATTTTGGAGGGAACACACAGCCTAGAAATGGCTTAAAAGCAAGCAGATGGTTTGAGGAAAAAGCTCCATAAATACAGGGCACCATGAAAATTAAAATATAAATGTTTTGAGTTCCATTTCATCACATTTTGCTATTTCACATGCTTTACTCGCTTCATTCCCTTTAAAATTTAAACCATCCAAGAGGAAAAGAAGAAAAAAATGTCCACATATCTTAGACTTCCACTTAGAGGTATATCTCATCAGCACAGTTTAAAATTCAAATATCTAGGTTCTTCCCTGTATATCTACTGTTGTCAATACATTTGTTTCTCATTCTATCTCCAGGAAATGTTTCAAAATAATAAGACTTTTTTGTTTCAACTTTATTGCTTCTTTACCTCTAACTCTGCCTTTCCAATAACAGAATATTCCAAGCATTTGAGGTTAAATAGCAAGTTCTAGAAACATAGTAACCAAACACATCGATCATCTATAGACACAATAGTTCCTAAGTTACTGAAGTATCTCCAAGCTAAACCAATAAACAAATTATCTCCAGTTAAACTCCCTAGATTCTTTCGCCTCCTCCTACCCCATCGTCCTACCCAGAAATGGCCAGAAACTGTTCGGAAATACATCGTTTTTCTGTTAAAAAGGGGGGGGGGGGGGAGATTCAAAGATTTACTGAGTTTGTTCTCAACTAGCAAAAACTGTTCTGTCAACATGTTTAAAGTCTGATGTGAGAAAGGTTGCTTTTATTTTCCAGCCAGAGTTCAACAAAAATTTCAGAGTTCAATGAAGAGTTGAAAACCATGAATTTTGGGGAAACATGTAGGAAATACCCCATTTTGCTGAAGGGAGAAGATAAGTGTATTGGCTGGTGCACGCGCGCGCGCATACACACACACACACACACACACACACACAACCATTCATCCACGGAGTTCTAGACCCTCCAAAGAGCCTCAGCTCACAGCCTGAACACAAAGCTCTCATCCCAGATGGTCCCCTGGTAACAATGGACGGAGGGAGTGGGGGTGGGGGGGCTCGACAAGGATAGTACAGCTAAAGCATATTCGTTGCAAAAACCAGTTGGGGAGGGAACAATGTAAGATATGAGGCACTGGGGCTAGGAGTCTGTGAGGGTAAAAAAAATTCCTTATACTGTAGTAGAAATATAAATAAATGCAAGCATGGGGGATGGGGGGAGGGGACCGGGACAGGAAGCTCATTCTATATCTCCTAGGGAGTAGAAAAGGACTCCCCCAAATCCATATAATTAGGGTGGGAAAATCAGAAAATGAGGCCTGCTAGGAACTTGCAAGAATCGTCCTCATCATGAGTTTGAACTCTTCAACTATTTTAAGCTTCCCCCTACCCAGGGGGAGGGGGGGAATGGCCCCACACTTTGAACTCCACAAAAGATTCGGCTCTGATTTATTTCTCTTTAATTTCTCCAAGTAGCATCTTTTAGTCTACACCAGCCTCAACTATTTTTTTTAAGTAAGCTTTAAACCACCCATTACAAGATCTTGGCCAATCTTCCCTCCCAGCCCCCAACATCCGGATTGGGGGTGGGAAGGCCAGTAATGAGTTTCTTTCACTGGAGATGCTATGGACCCCAGAATACAGCTTCTCAGCCTTAAACATCCTCCTTCAATTCCCCCCCCCCCACACACACACACCCAAGAACTCTTTCCTACCTTTGTTTTTTGGGGACAGAGTGCTCAATCTCTAGGCGTTTTCCTTGCAGTTCCACTTTCCCTGAAGATTAAAAGAAAAAAAAAATGAGTGAGTGCTTGTGGGGGGGGGGCGCAGAGGGGGAAGGGGAAGGGGACACATAAGCTACTTGGGATTTCAGATCTTGCAGGGAATGCAGACCGTGGCTTCCCCGCCTGGGTGGGCAAAGGTTGCCTGAGAAATTGTGCAACCTTATAAATTCATTCTTTCCTTCATTTTTTTTTATTTTTCTTGTGCTTAACCACGGATCCGGGCTAGGTGCACAGATCACTGGGAGCCCCATTTGGGGAAGGTGTGAGCGCACCGCCTCTCTGGCTCCCAGATGTGTGGAGAAGGCGCCAGGAGAAGGCACCCCGTTTTCTCAGCAAGTGGGGTGGGGAGTACAGAATTCAACTTTTCTTTTTCTGTGGGACCATGGAGGGTCCATGGAGGGTTCCGGGCGTTGGGGCGGTCGGGAAGGGGGGGGGGGACCTGGGGGGAAGCGGAGGGAGCGGGGCTCGGCCCCTCGCCGCCACCGCGCGCGCTTCCTGGCCCAGCCTCGGCGTCTCGCGAAACAGCATGGCGACCCGGCGCCACCGCGCCACCCCGCTCACGCCCCACTTTCAAATCAAAATGGCTCAAGCCCCGGTCCTGGGCGGGAGGCGGGAGCCCCTTACTCTCATGCCCTGCCTGAGGGCTGCAGTCTCCACAAAAAAGCGGGGAGATTGGAAGGAATGTGGGACCCTCTCCACGCCTGGGAAGGCCTAGGCGTGAGGAGAGGTGGGGTATCCATGGTGGGGGGGGGCGTCCAGTGGCGGATAGGGAGGGGCTGGACGTGGAAATAACGCCCCGGTACGGATCTAGGTGCCCTTAAAGCCACCCCCCCCCGTACTGCCCAAGGGGGGGGGGCTTACCGCCCCGTCGAGGTGGGGGGGAAGGGAAAGGGAAACCCCGAGCTGGTAGTGGTGGTTGGGAGACATCCCGAATATTTCCGTGCGGGGAGGGTGGGTGGGGGCGTCGAGGGAGGTGGGCGCAGCCCCCCCGCAGACCGGGTGGGGGGGCGGAGAGGAGTTGGCGGGCCCGGCGAGCGGAGGTGCGGGTCTCCCGTTGTTCCGGGATCTCGCCGTGGTTTTTCCGGGGAGGTGGCTGCACGCTTACCCGAGAAAGTTTCGATGGCCTTCATCGCCCAGTGCTCGTCCGGGCAGTCCACGAAGGCGTAGCCGGATTTCACCAAGAACTGGCCGCTGTAGGAGATCTTGTGTTCCGCAAATACTTTCTCCAAGTCGGCGGGGGTCACGCTCTCGTTCAAGTTGCCGATGTAAAGCTTGTTCATGGTGGCGACGGTGCGGGGCAGGACGCGGTCCCGGGCAAGGCCGAGCGGGGAGCGGGCGCGCGCGGGCGGGCGGGCGGCGAGCCTCCTAGGCCGTGAGGCAGGGGAAGGCCGGTGGCAAGAACCGCAAACTTTCTTTGCACCCCACCCCTGAAGTTGTCCGGAGCTCGGGGCGGGGAGGACGGCCGGAGGACGCGCGGGGGTCGCGGCAGAGTTCGGCGGGGAGCTCGGCGGGGAGGGGGGGCGCGGGGGGAAGTGCCCGCGACGCGCTGGGGAGGCGGAGGACGAAGCGCGACTCTCCTTCCCTTCGGTCCGAAACCCCTCGGAGCGGGCTGGTGTGTCACGTTTCTCCACGGCCGCCCAGGCGCCGCCTCTAAATAAAATCGACTTGAAAAAAAAAATGGAGCGGAAAAAAAAAAGACTAAGCCACGTGGTGACAGCCCCCACCCACCCAGCCAGAAAAGACCCCCGACGCCGCCGGGCCCCACGGCCCCCGCACCCGGCCTAGCCCAGCAACCTCGGGGGGGGGGGGGGCACTCCATCCCCAGGGTAAAGGGGACCGCGGGGACCGGAGTCCCCGAAGAGCTCCGCGCCCCCTCCCTCTTGGCGAGAACCTGGCCCCTAGGGAAGCGCCCCGCCCCCACCCATCCTCCTACCTCAACCTGGACCCGGGGCGCGAGCGGAGCCCCAAATCTCCCCTGTCTGTGAGAATAACAGGGACGGTTATGTTATTATTATTGTTATTATTCGTTCTGGGGGAGCTGGGTTGCCCACTCCACCCCCATAAACTGCGAGCGACTGACAGGCGGGGGACGGCGGAGATAGACAAAGAGAAGCCGAGGACTCTGGGGTCTTCTGGAAGGGGTCGCCCGAGCCGGCGGTTTAAAAAGAAAAGCGCCTTCTCCCCCCCCCCCCAGATTCCTAAGCAGGGGCTCTCCGCCCACGTCGCCACACCCCCAGGAGGCTTCCCCCACCCCCGCCCCCGGACTCTGGGACCCCCCCCCCACGAGCTTAGGACCAAGAAGCTGGGAACGTAAGGGAGGGCGGCGGAGAATCGGGGACCCCCTGGCAATCGTGTTTCTGTATCCCCCTCCCCACTAGGAAGGATGGCTCGCGCCCTGATTCCAGCTATTAAATGACAACCTTCTCAGGGTCTGGGGGAGCCCAAAGCCCCGGCCCGAGACGACCCCAGGATGCCGGGTGGGAGAGAAGGACGATGGGTGGTCGCTGGGGCTAACCCGAGCAGACCAAACGGGGAAGTCTCAGGGAAGGAGTGACCGGGTGGGGATCCGAAAGATTTCCCCCCCTTCCCCACCCCCGTGCGGGGGCAGACAGGTGGAGCCCCCCCACCCCCGCGCCCGCTCCAACCGGGACACCGGCTGCAGCTCTGCGGGCGCGGGGTTCGGGTCTCAGAACTTTGTTGGGGGTGCGGTGCCGGGCCGGCCCGAGCGGGGGCGGAGGGCGGGGGCCGGCGAGGCCCCGCCCACGTCCCCAGGTCAGACCCGCGGGGGGAGGGGGCGATTTCCGCTCAGCGCGCCGAGGAGCGAGGGGCGGGAGCGAGGGGGAGGGGGCGGCGGCCCCTCCCCCGCTCGTTCCTGGGGAGGGGGAAGCGGATCCGCCCAAGTCCCTTCTCGGAGCTCGGACCAAACTCAGTCTGGATCCTTGGGCTCCGCGAACCCGGGGGACCCTCACCGGGCAAGGGGCGACACGTGGGCGGTCGCAGTCCCCCTCTTTTCTGGGCGGTGGGGGAGGGGGCGACGCGCGCGCTTCGGAGTCCCCGAGACGCGCTGGAGCGCGGGACGCGCGCTGCACCCGCAGTCCCGGGATCCCCGGATCCCCGGCCCGGCGGCGGGCAAAGCCAACGAATTTCTAGTGGCAGGGGTTGGGAATGGGCCAGGGGGTGGCGGGGAGCGCAGCCCCAGGACCTCGGAGCCCCCTCGGCCAGCGAGCCAGGAGAAGAAGAGGGTCCACCCGCTAGGGAGCTGCAGACGCCCCGAGGTGGGCGCGCGTTGGATCGTCCTCGGGGTCCGCGGGAGGGGGAGATGATTCCACGGCGGGGCCCGCGCGTGGCGAGGGCAGGTGAGGCTGGGGGTCACTCGCCCCTTCCCTCGTCCCGGCCCCATTGTCTCCGTCGCCCGCGGCCCGGGCCGGCTCGGTAACACGTGTTGCCTACACCGAGGTGAATGAATTGAATTTTTTGTTGTTGTTATGGTTAACTGCTTTTTCCCCCCCCTTTTTTTTTTTAGAGTCAGTGAGCCAATTCGGACTTGGGCTCGTCTGCCTGCGGCCGGAGCATGTCACACCTTTCTGAAAGTCCGGAGTTAAAAGACCGCATCCAGCACCTTTGTCCCCTTCCCCATTTTCCTGGCGAGCTGGGAAACCTCGGGGGCTGGGGCGTGGGGGAGGGGGAGGGCTTCCCCTCGGCCTCTGTCTCCACCACCACCTTCAGCACCCACCCTCCCAAATCAGCGTTTTGTTCTAGCCTGCCATGTGTTTGACGGGTGTGTGTGTGTGTGTGTGTGTGTGTAGCATTTTTCTTCTTCCCACGAAGCAACAGGAATTAAAAGACTATGTAGGGTATCGGTTGGTTTCTGCCCAAGAAGGTGAGCGATGCCTGGGTGTCCACCCCCACCCCCACCCGCCTCCGACCCTCCCCCCCATCTGACTCTTAGACTCTTGTCAGCTGTTGACCACAAGCATCATTTTTAAATAAACCAAACTAATGAGCTGGAAACTGCTTGCCACATAGTAGGCACGCAGACATCTTTTGAATGAAACACCAGATCATCTTCAAGAGCAAAGACCATTCAGGAAAATTACAGTCGGGGAAAAGAAGAAGAAAAAAATCTGTGTTAGCTAGAATGTGTGGATCGATGACATGGGGACTTTTTCTTGGTGATTTTGTAGGGTTGTTTTTGTTTGAAAGAGCTAAAAAAAAAAAAAAAAGTTCCTAAAAAGGCTGTTGTGGTCCCTGGCCTTTTCTAAATGGTAGCCCTCATCTCTTAATCTTTTCTGTTTTATTAGAGAACAAGGAACAGGCTAACTAGGCAGGGCTTCCCAGCTCCTAGGAAGGTTCAGGGCTGTTTACTTGATTTAGTTTAAATCTTTAGGTATTGATAATAATTATCTTCCTAGAGAACATACCCACTACTCTATCTCTTCCTAAAACAAAAGCAAGTTAAAGCCTACAAAAACTAGGTCTAGACTTCTCCCTGTGACTCCAAGAGAAATTTTAAAGCAATCCTTGATTTCAACCTTTTATGAATATAATGGAACTCTAAATAATTAAACTAGACTTTTTAAAATAATATATTCGAAATGACAACACAGGAGTAGTTTTAAATTGTCTAATTAACAATGTACCAATTGTTGCCCCATTGAAAGATCAACTGTTTAACTGAATTCTAATCCTGTCCATTCCCACCCCCACCCCACCCCCCCAAGGGCTTCTGTGTGTATAATCAGAGGCTGCACAAGCTGTCCGAATACAGCTGGGTGAATGTGGCCCGCTTCAGTTTGCCTCAGTGACCTGGCTATCTTAGGCTGGGATAGGGGATATCTCAGGCAGAGAAGGGTTATTTCTTGTCAAGACTCACACCCCTAGGTTAAGGATAGGAAGGGGAAGATGTGGAGCACCAAAAGTTTTCATCTTCCCCTTCTTGTGTTCTTGGTTTTCTTTTGTTTGGTTTAGTATCAGAGCTAAGAAATAATGTATATATTATAATTGTTAAACTTCCTTTTTTTTTTTTTTTCTTGTTTTCCTCCCTCTCATCTCCTCCTTGGTTTTTCCTAAGTGAAGTGTTTGGTCTCCTTGTGGAATTCAATCCCCCCTCTACACTTAGAAAATGTGACACCAGACTTTATTTTAAAAATAGGATTCTGATGTCCATTGAAATAAATGCAGAAAGAGAAAAAATTGCAAGAGAATAAAGCAACTTTTTTTTAATGGAAGTAGATGAGAACAATCAACAACCAAAAAAATCAATTCCACCATTGTCATACAAAATTAGTTTTGTTTTTAAACTGTTTCTTCCCAGCATTTGTAATGCTTTTACATTTTGTCATCCTTTTATATCCTTTTAAATTCTTTTAGTTTTTTCCTTGCTGCCTCCAAATTTTTCTACCATTATTTTTATTCAGGCTAAAAGATTTAAGTCTCTGTGTTACACTCACTTTTTTAATTTTTCTTCCTTTTGTAAACAGTGCAGGAGACATAGGACATAAATTTGAGGGATCATTTTTCCCCTTTTTTGGAATAATTCCTTTGGATAAATCCCCAGTATATTCCATTTTTAATATAACCTTTGTCAGTGAAATTTCTGTCTCAAAATTTTAGCATGTTTTATAAAAGAAAGGACACAAAATTCAAAAGCAGAGGGAAAATACATTCAATAGAATTTTTTTTAGTTTTGTGTTTTCTAATAATTCTGAACTCATTATGGTTGCATGAAATAGAGAAAAAGAAAAAGACCCATTTTCTGACTTCAAAGCTTTTGGAGGAATTTAGAGTTTTGCTTTTTTTGTTGTTGTTTGGATTTGGGGGGTTTTGTTTGTTTGGTTTTGGTTTTTTGTTGTTACTATTTTCATTGTTACTGCCTTGGGATGGTCTGTCTGTTCCTTCCTGCAATTTGAAGTGTGGTTCTTTTAAATGCCTATAAACTTTGAGAAAGTGTAAATTAGTCCCATTTTAAAAGCACATGCAACATTTTCTCCTGTCAAATAAATAAGGATAATTATGTGTTTAGGATATCTCATAAAACATAAGAGAACTATAACCAGAAAATGATATTCTCCTCCTTCAAATTAACATTCATTGAAGTGTTCAATGTGTTGCACACTTTTTAAAAAAAATGTGTGTGTATCTCAGCTAGAAGGACTCAAAGAGGGAAAAAGAACTTCATTTGTTTTCTTGTGGGACATACTGTGTATAAGACCATAAAAACTCACTTTTTGTTGTTGTTTTGGCTCAGGTTTACAATACAGAAACTTTAAGGCAAAGAAGGGTGTAACTTAGTCTATCAAGTTTTTAAAGTGGATCTTTCCAGATTCATTTTGTTAGTAAATTAAACTACTTTGCTCACTTCTGATGATGTGTATAAAAATAGCCAAAACCATGCTTCTTTCTATACTATTTTGCATTTTTTGTTTTGGCCCAAAATCATTTGGTTGAAAGATAATGAACAATTTTATTTATTCCCTGTAACACAAAATGCAAAATGAATCCCTGATTCATTTGGAGGAAAATTGTGCAATTCATGAAAAGACAAAGGCTCTTTTTCAAAATAAAACAAATTATGAAAGGCAAGAAAAGAGAGAAAATCTATACCTA